GGGATGCTCTGACACGAAGAGCAGCTGTTTCTTCTGACTGAGCGGTGAGGCTGTCACATGGAGTCCCTGCAGGAACCGCAGAGCCCTGAGACCAGGCCTGGGGGCCTCGGTCTCCAACACAGAGTAACCCGGGGTCCTCAGGGCAGCAGCTCTGTCCTTCACCCGAGCTTTCTAAGGACACATCACTGCGTGGGTTCCGGTGCACACCTCACGGGGACCCTTTGGGACATGCTCCGGCCCACGCTGAGGCTCAGAGCCAAGGCTTCTCTTAAACTGTTCTGACTGAACGGCTGTAAAAGCCGACAGTGCACACGAGACGCGTCCACATGTCACAGAAGAGTGTAAAGCGAGAGTTGCAAGTCCTTTACACCCGACTTCCCAGCCTCTCCTCAGAGCTTACAGCCCCAAATTGTGCCAGATGGACCATTCCAGAATTTTCTGAGCATGTGCATGTGCCTGTGTGTCTAGCATGTATGTGTGTGCGTGGACGTGTGTGTGCACACGCACGCCGTACATACACATGTGCATTCAGAACACATGCACATGCCTACATGTGGGTGCGGGGTTCTGCTGAGGGGCCCTGGGCTCCCGGGAGCCAGGTCTGCCTTGGGGACAGGGACGCGGGAGGCGGGGGTTGTGCCTGTGAGCCTTGGAGGGCGGTGGCCTGGCTCCAAGCCGTGCCTCCCTCTTGAACCAGCTCTGACCTACCACCCTCAGCCGTGGCCGGGTCTCCCCTGGGAGGCAGGGGTGCGGGTTCCCGGCCAGAGGGTCAGCTGCGGGGAGGCCACACGGCTCTGGGCCCCGCGTGGCTCCGTGCACTGGCTGCCTGTGCCATGGCGCCCCGAGTGACTTTATGAAGCTACCTCCGTCCCCACATCCTCCCAACATGTCCCCGAGTGGGTGACACCCCCCGATTGGTCTCAGGTCCAGCCCGCTGCGCTGAGTGACCTCCCCAAAGCCTGTTCCGTCATGACCCGCTCAGAGGGCACCCTCTCTGCCGTCCGCCCACAACACCCCTGCCGGCGGCCACCCCCTCCGCACTCCTGGGCGCCTGCGCGTCACTCTGTGAGTCTGCGGGTCCCAGGCACACCCCGCACGGCGCCCACTCCTTTCGTGTGTCCATTGTCTTGTGTGTTACGACACACAGGTCATGCTTGTCGGCGAATTAATTACGGATCAATAAGTCCTCCCCCGTCTTTAACCTGAGCCTTCAGCCATGGCCTTCCCATCGTCTTTGCCACTTCCGGGGCTCGTGACCCTGGAGGGGGTGTGACCAGGAGGGACCATCACAGCCACACAGGGCAAGACGGTGAGGAGGCCAAACGACCTGGTCAGCAGAAGTAGTGGTGGCCCCACGCCGCACAGACCGGTGTTTAGAAACGACGGTGTGCTCCTCCCCGGTGGCCGGAGGAGACACAGGGACCCCCAAAGTCAGGTCTGTGATGTGCCAGTCCCTGCCCACCCTCATCTTCCCCAGGGGACACACGGGGTGGGGCCAACCCAGCTCGGGGGCAATGGAGGTGAGAACCCACCGGGAAATGCTGGCGCCCGGCCACCAGGGCTCTGAAAGCCACAGCCGCCTCTGTGAAAAGCCCTCTGTAGGGGCCCGGCCAGGTCCATGTGTGAGGACACAGGGCTGGGGTCGGGGAGCTCTGAGCGGAGTGTGCGGCCCAGGGGGAAGGCTCAGGGCCCAGACGGGAGAACAGGGGAAGGGCAGGGGGCTCAGGGCCCCACACCTGGGCCCCGCGCTCCAGACTGGCCTCAGTGGGCTCAGCTGTGTCCTGAGGAGGCAGCGGTGGTGCCGTTTTCTCGGGTGAGGAATCGGGTGAAAGTGGCGGGCGTGGCCCTCAGGCTGTGGTCACCGGCCTGTGAGGAGGGACTGAGCACGTGGCCGTGGGCTGTATCCGGCCCGAGCACGGTTTGTGTGGCCCCCGCTGTGGCAATTTGTTTTAAGTTGAGTCGGTGGCCAACCTTTAAAAGTCAGCGGCTTTACACAAGCACCGGGACTGTTGGCACCCCACGGGAGAACATGGGGGGCGGGGAGGCTCCGCGTTCCCCCCACCCGACTGGGGGCTGAGGTCACACCAGTGTCTGGTCCCGGGGACCTGGTCACTGAGCCCGGCGGGCCACACGGCCTCATCAGTCCCGGTGTGGGCACCGCCTGAACCCGTAGCCCGGAGGCTTTCCTGGGGCCCCGGCGCCCACGGCCATCGCTCTGTCCCGCGCTGGGCACGGAGCCACAGTCCCAGGCTGGCCCCAAGAGCCCCGCGGCTGCTGGAGTCCCCTGGACGCTGCCGCCATGGCCTGCGTCTGAGGGGAGGGGGCTTTAATAAAGTCACTCATCCAAGGAAAGCAACACAAAGGACCTTAAAGCCAAAAGCAGCCCCCGGCTCCCATCCCACTCAGCCCTTTACACGTGGGGACGTTTCATTGTTTTTTCACCGAAAGTTCAGGCAGGAGCGTTTTCCCAGTCGCTGGCCTGGAACGCATCCTTCCTCCCACTTCGGCTCAGCGGTGGCTGTCACTGGGGGGAGAGCAGGGCCTCCCGCCTGCCCCCCGCCGGTGTGAGCTCGCCCCCAGGCGCTGGCTCTGTGTGAGAGAGAAGATTCCAGGCCGGCAGTTTGGGCAGTCTTAGGAAAGCTCCTCTGAAAATGAACGCTTTCATGTTCAAAAGTTTCAACAGGGGACAGAGCCGAGTTCCGCGGCGGGAACGCCACTGAGCTGCCACAAGTTCTACGGGGTGGCATCCGAGCAGATGGGGACGAGCCCCGTTACGTCCCCACTCCCACACGGCAGCTCAGCCTCCTTCCGCCCTCAGCCTCGTCCCATTTTCTCCAACTGCCACCCGCGTTCCTAAAGAGCTGCTAAAATTACTCACGAAGGAAGCTGGTAAACAATTTCAGAGAGCTGACTCTTCCTGCAGGAACGCAAACGGCCAGCATCCTTCTAACTCTGCCCCCTCGTTCCGAGAGGCTGCAGTCTTGTCAGCTCTACCTGGTTCTGTTATGACAAACTTCCAACATGTACAAAACTTGCACACATGATACCACACGTGCCATGTCCCCCGCCTGGAACCCTTCACAGGATGTTTTGCCATATTTACCTTCTCTATTTTTGGGGGAAACATCTTGATTAAAAAGAGTACAGAACTTAAAAGTTTTACAGAATTAAGTAAAGTAATTTCATACATCTTGGAATCATATATTCAATCAAGAGTATTTTTCTTTTTTTCTGAACCACTCGAAATGAAACCAAAGTTCATGACACCACAGG